ATGGGAGATTACTATATGAACCTATTGAACCCAAGCAGCTGTGATTACAACAAATACATAGACTTGCTAGAAAAATACTGTATCACCAGTCTCAATAAAACTATACCTACCAGATATGATAAGTCATCAGTGACCCTAATAGACCATTGTAGGACAGCGCAGGCTTCTCTATATATTATTTATAGCGCCGTACACTAGCCGCCTGACATGAGTCAATGCACGGCATAAGCGATACCATAAAACTTGCCATACATCATCCGAGTGACACATAATAGTCCACACGCACTCGCACTCGCAGCGAGAGACTCGGCTCTCATCCTTTCCGCGGCACAGTCCAGTTTTGCCTAGCTCCGGATCTTTCCTTGGTTTCATACACCTATTCCTTCTATACTCCTTCTGTCCACCTTCCACCTTCACTTCGCCGAGCTACTTCACGATCCACGTCTTACGGTACGAGGTTACTTGTATTCAGTTACGTATTCGGTGGGTGTTTGTTGACATGTGTTTAGTATCGTAGAGTTGTTTGTTTAGACTGTTAAAGTGCAAGCCACTTGTGACGCATATTCTGTGGTGTAATAGAACGCACGAAGAGTAGCTTTTATAATACTGTGTTCGTGTTATCTATCTAAGGTATGCTCATACATTATTTGTTCTTACTAGCTGAATTGCCTGCGTTTACACGCTTTTTCTGTTTACGCGTTGTCGTTGTCTAAATTCGTCGGTGCGCACTATAAATTGCCGCCAGTGTTGCCCAGGGTCTCCAACCCTGTGAACTCCAAATGCGGAATGAAATTGATGGACGGGGGGGGGGAGGCAAAATTAACCTTGGCTGCCGCAGGCAGGGCCGCGCGCCGTAGGCATGCTAGTGCTAGGGGGGTCTGGGGGCATGCCCCCCCCCCAAATTTTGAAATATTAATTTAAGCCATTTTCCTGCAATCTGAGGCATACTGTGGGCCATATTCTCATGTCTGATAACACTATCTCAACCCTAGACTCAACCCTACAAGTTAGGATTTAACACACTTTTCATGACTTTTCAGAGAGCGTACACAGTTAGGTTACTATAGTAATAATACATGTATTA